GCTCCAAACTTTGGAGGTAGTATGTGCTTTAGATTCCGAAAGCAGAACGTCGCGCGGCGTCCCCGGCTTCTGGAGTTCTCTGCCTCCGCTGCGGGCGCTGGTGCGAATGATGCCCGCGCGGCGCCCGGAGGAGGCACGGCTGGACCCCGCGCACCCGACTGCAGCCCGGCCTGGGGTGCCGGGCGCTTTCAGTTCTGCGCGGCGGAGCCGAAGTGTGGGGCCGCGAAGGAGGGTGAACACCAGGGTGGAGAAGTGGTTCACACCAGCGAAGGCGCCCGCAGACATTACAAAAGGTTCGGCTTGGCTGTCACAGTGGACCAGCCTGAGCCACAATTTGGAGCAGTTTGATAGGACAAAGAACCCAGGGTGAAGAAGAAATCATGCACTTGATTCCAACCATCTTACCCTTTTTGTTCATAATAATAGCTACGCCCCTTTGAGTGCTTAAAGTGGGCCCGGGTCTGTGTTCACTAGGTTCTGTGAATTCTCTCTTCACTCCTATGACAACCCTGTGAGATGGGTATTGTTATCGTCACTTTCCAGAGGAGGGACCTGAAGCCAGGAGCTGTTGGGTAACTTGCTGCAAGTCACACTTGAGAGGTGGTGGAGAATCTTTGAAACCCGAGTTGGCCTGACTTGGAGTCCAGAGGCATTTCTGCCGCCTCCCACTCCAGGAGTCACTCCTGCGTAGTACTAAAAGTCTGTACATGCTGGTCTGTGTCCTTTTCTCACCTAGTATATTTTATGAGGGACTTTGTGGTTAAGAGGATGGACTGGAACCAGACTCGCTGGGTCTGAATCCTGCCTCCACCACTTACCGGCTGTGGAACCTCTCTGTGTGCAGATAAGGATCAGCAAAATGGGAATAAAATAGCTACTCCTCTTTAAGCACTTCAGTGGCGCTGTTTTTCCCGTCCATCAAATTATGCAAATCATCACATTTGATATTTAAGACAACTCTAATAAAGTAGGGTTTCAACTGTAATAAAGTAGGATCTCATAGGGTTATCGTAAAGAACTTATATTGATGTTAGTGGGCATGTAAACCTTGCCGTGTCGCCTGTGGGTCAAAGGATTCCCCTGTGGGTGTGCATTGTAGCCATTCCCTGTTGTTGGATATTCGCAGGCCCATGGAGCGGTGGTCAGACCCAGGACTCTGGAGTTAAACTCCTGGTTCCCACCCTGACTGTCATTCAGCGACTTTGGGCAAGTTACTTGACCTCTGAGCCAAGTGCTAAATTATTGGGAAATTTGGGAGCTGGTTGCTAAATCATAGATCATTTGAAATTGACTGTTGGTGAATATTTATACCATGGAAATCAGCAAATGCTTAAAATCAAGGGTTTTCCCTCTTAGGAGAGCTCGTTTACCACCACACCTTTGCATGTGTTTTCCCATTTGTAACGTGGGTTTCGTAGAGTTGTGGGATTAAGTATGCTAAAACATCTGAAGTCCCTAGTACAATGCCTGGCACATAATAAAGGAGTAATAATAGTTAGCTGTTATCTTTTCCCCCTTTTCCTATTATAAACAGAGCTGCTGTGAACTTCTCTGCATTAGTTATTCATTGCTTTGGATCATTTTGAGGTTGAAGTCTTCCAAATAGAACAACTGGATTATGGGATATACATGATTTTGGGGTGTTGTTGCATGTAGACAGGTTGCTGGGCCAGTTTTAGGGAGTGTACCTCTTCCAGGGCAGCAGTTTTTAAGCCTGCTGAAACGTGGGGAAGTTGCTGATAGAAAGGTCGGTAGATAAACATTGTCAATTGGTATTGGATGCCTGGCCTCCAAGAGCCCGATTTCTTTAGAATTTTTAGGTTTAAAGTCTGCCCCTCTGGTGGGACAGGACAAATGAGCCCCTGCCATTTGGTCATCACCACTCGGCAGCAGGAAAAGAAGCCCAGTGAGAAAGGGGTATGTGGCCCCTAGGCGGAGGCCTTGGGAAGCCAGCCAAGTAATCCACGGGACCCTCTACTGAATTTTTTTTGTGTGTGGTAATTTTGAATTAGTTTTCTTAAAGAGGCTCTCTAAATTGGATAAGCTGGGTCTGCCATTGCAGGACCTCTGATTTGGACCTGGCTACAGTCCTGCCTCCTAGCACCTTTCTTTCTAGACCTTTCCTGCTTCTAAGCAACATCTTACGGGAGACAGTGTCTGTAAGCGGAGGATTTGGAGTTCCTAACCCCTAATTCCACGGTTCTAAGTACAATTTCCTTATTTTCCTTTCTGAGGTTTCTCAAAGTGTGTTCACAAACCACATGGCAGGGGGGAGGAGCTTGATAAAATGCAGCTTTCCAGGCCACACCCCAGACCCACTGATTCAGTCTTGGGGACCCAGGTGGGGAGGGAGAGTAGGCTGCGTTTTCAACAATGCCCCAGTTGATCCTTATGACACCGAATTCCGAGGAACCCTCGACGGATTCTGCCCCCCGTCCTGCCCCTGACAGCAACTTGCACTGTTGATGGTAAGTGGGATGCTGCTCACTTGAAAGCAGAGCCACAGCCACAGCCCTCCACCACCTGCGACCAGACCGAGGGGCAACCCCACTGGGGGAATCCCTGCCCTGCCAGGCAGACCTCAGCCTTCCCCCTGGGCCCGTTATACATGATCCCATTAAACCCTTGGGACCAGTTTCAGATTTATGGCTGGGCTTAAGTTTTTATTTAAAGATGACAGTTGACATAGCAATTTAATGTCTTTGTTTTAACAACCAGCAGCAGGACAGTCTTGGCCGCCTGGGAAACTTTCCCTGCAGAACATCACTGGCCCACACCTGCGGGTTCAGGGAGAGCGGAGCAGGGACAGACAGGCGGGGCTGGGCTGAGGGGCGCCGTTTTATACAGATGTGATCAGCTCACGAGCCAGTGAGTCCATGGTGCCAGCTCTGAAGGCCACCGAAAGCAGCCTGTGGACCCATGGGCGCCGGGTGCGAATGGTGCTTCATGTGCCTTTGCTGACTTTGTATTTGAACTGATGTCCCCTTTCCTCACTGTTCGAAATTTTGGAAACCTCAGCAGGTGCCTGGCTGGGCCATGTCTTAGGGCTTCCTGGGTGAACTGAGTCACTTCCCTCCCTGGGGTTGAGTAACCCCCTTGGCCCCTTGACGTTGGGCTCTGTTTAAACGTGCTGTTTAAATTGTACTAAATTTACTTTCACTGGTTTCTTCTGCTTCCCCCAGATAGCTCTCCACTGCAGCAGCCTGGGGGTGGCAGTGAGGCCATAGGGGGGCCCAGGCAGGCGACAGCAGCAGCTCCTCGATAAGAGCTGTCAGGAGGCGTCCACTGGAGTGAAACAGTCCCCTGCAGACTTCCGGGGACGAATTTCCCTTCCAAGCAAGTTCCCATCTCTCCAGGGCCCTGCTGAGTGCCTGTGGGCAGCTTTGCTGCCCCTTCTGTGTGGCGCTCAGGGACTCCTAATCTGGCCTGCCCTCCCTCCCAGTCCCATTCCCCTGTGCCCCACTCTGCCTCTGGGTGGCTGGACATTCCCACCTCTGTGCCTTCGCTCCCTGAGGGTGTCCTCTGTCCTTCGTCCTCTCCCAAAGCCGAGTCTCCCGGCTCCAGCAGGCCTGCTCTGCCGCCTCCTGCCTCCCTCCCTCTCTGCACCTGAGATGCAGTTTGTCCATCTCATCTCTCCCTGGACAGCTGCAGAGGCCGCCAAGGGGCAGGGGCTGCTCCGGAGCCTCCCATTTTGGAAGGGACAGACCAGAGAAGTCAAGTCTCTGACCTTACACAGCATCCATCTAGTCATCTTCTTAAAACGGATTTAGAGAACAAATACAGAGCTGATGACTTTTCTCCTTCCTCCCTGCCTCCCTGCCTCGCTTCCATCCTTCTTCCCTTTTTTCCTTGCTCCAGTGAGGATATTAAAAACAAACAATGCCCTCATCAACTGTCTTTATCATTCCACAAATAAAGGGCTGTTTTAACACTCCAAATAGTAGGAAAGATATAATCTCATATAAAGAAGTGTCCTGATATACAAGAATCTTCTAGAGGTTGCTGCTTCTAGGGAGAGGCACTGGGTAGCTGAGGGACAGAGGTGAGAGGAAGACCTGTCCCACTATGCTCCCTTTTGTGTCTCCTGAATTTTATACCATGCAAATAAATACAACTATCTATTTTAAAAAAACAACCCAAGATTGTCCTTACTCTGTCAACACAGCTCACTTGGTAAATATTTCCTTATCTTTATTCTCATTTCTTCATGGACCAGGGAAGAAAACTTCATGCCAGCCTTGGCATAGAGGGCCAACGGCCATCCGGGAACTGCTGGTCTCATCTTCTCAATTAATTTTAAGTTCCCCGAGAAAAAGGGCCCTGCCTTTCGTTTCTTGTGTCTTCCACTGCCCTTCCCTTTCCAGGCTCTGCAGCCAGACAACCTAGGGCTGAATCTCAGCTTGTCTACTTCCTTGCCTGCTCCTTTGGAGCAAGTTATTTAACCTCCCTGTGCCTCAGTTCTCTCATCTGTAAAATGGGCTAACAATGGGCCTTACTTCCAAGAGCCGTTGTGAAGCTGAGATGGGATATGGTAAGTGCAGTAAATGCCAGCTACTTTTACAGCCGTCACCTCCGCTCTGCCTTACCGAACCCCTGCCCTCCCCCAGTCTGTCAGAAAACATTTACCAATATAAATCTGTACGAGAGTACCGGACACTGCTGACTGACCCTGAGGAGGTCAGCTCTCTCTCCAGAAATGCACCGTCTAGCTGACCGATACTGAAGGGAAAAGTCACTTATTTGCCTCGAAGTAGGCCAGGGGAGAATGAGGGCACATTTATGGGTAAATGTCAGGTCCCAGAGGAAGCAGGGAGGCTCTGGAAAGTGAAAAAAAATAAGGACAGGGTCTTCACTTTCATCCCCAGGATAGGGCTCCTGGGTGGTTTTATTTTTTCTGGGGCTTTGCCTAGAAAGTGAGGATTCTACGGAGGCTACAAATACCAGTCTGGCGCTCTTATTTCCTTCCCTCTCTAGAAACTGGAAACCAGTGGCCATCTGTTGTTTAGTCCACTCAAAAGAGGATGTTGAGGCTTGTTTTTCCTTCGGACCCAAGGGTGCTCGGGAGCCCTGCAGCCCCCCCCACCCCCGCCTGTCTCACACAAGACGTCTCTGAGAAGACAGCGGATTTCTGGGCTGCGAGGACCTCCCCAGTGGACCCCAGGGCATGGAACGTAAGGCATGGCCCCCGTCCCCCTTGGCGGACGTCCTCAGCCCGCCGTGGCCGGCAGGGCAGAGTGGGGGCGAGGGGAGTGTGGTGTAGACGCAGGTGCACAGGTGACCTTTGCAGGCGCCGCCTGAGGGCTTGGCTGTCTGAGGCCTCAGACCGCGTGTGAAAACTGCCATGATGCCGTTTCTCAGCCGAGCCACCCCTCTGCAACCTGTTTGCCTGCTCTGGTCTTTGATACTTGCTAGCATTATGATTATTTTAAAACATTTTCATTTTTCTTATAATTTTCTGCTAATTGAAGTTCATGCAAACCTCCCTACTCAGGGAATTGCATGCCTGAAGGGGAGTTATTCTCAGAAGCTAGATACTGGAGCGGATAAACACTTAAGTAATATTTAGATACAGTGTTTCCATGACCCAGTTTCTCCGGAGCTTTCTTAGACCACCAGTTGTAACACACTGATTCTCTGTTTCTAAGTTGGGATGACTTTTTTTTTAAGTGTAATATGTTTGATTTGGTATCAGTGACATGAAGTTTTAAGTAAGTTTTGCAGCGTGTGCACTTCCCGTGAGTTTTTAAAAGGAGTATGGCGTGTGTGTGTGCCTGCGCACGTGTGTGTGTTATATCAAACTACTTTAGAATTTAAGGTTAACATTTCTGCCTTTTCCTGGGCTTGACTGTTTAGTTTTTCTTTAATATGCTGTGAATTTTGAGGGTACTTGAAGATGTAAGTTGACTGCTGTTGAGGAAGCTGGATATTGAGATTTTACCAAAATCTTTGACTTGTGGAAATTGTCTATGCGGGATTGTCACCCAGACCTTCCTGCAGACTAATTAATAGCAGGACTCCATGCTGTAAGCGTTCAGTTCTGATGAGTGTTACAGATGCCTTTTGAGTATGGATTTTCAAGGAATTAATGTCTGGAGAAGTTCTCTGATAGATATGACATCACAGTATCTATAAATAATGCATTATGCAATATGCTGCGAGCAACCAGCCTCAGCCATCTGCACCACGATGCTGTGCCGTCGTCGAGATGGCTTTTACTGAGGTCAGAAACCACATAGAATAGCATAAACATAAATGGAAAGGGTATGTACATTGTGTTTGCATGCTAGATGATTCAGCCCAGTCTTCCATGAGTTGTCTGCGTGGAATTGAACTCTTGGTTTTCTCAGTCTTCTCCCACAGTGTAATTGTAATCCTTCTCTTCAAGGCTGTCGTGTTCTGGCCTCTGTGAGTGTGAAGATCAGCAAATATTAAAAATTAAAATGGCAGTAGAGCCTCATGGTAAAGAGCACGTGCCCTGGAGCAGGACTGCCTGGGCTTGGACCATGATTCTCCATTTCCTAGCTGGATGACCCTTGCAAGTTACTGTGCCTCAGTTTCTTCATCTGTGAAGTGAGGATAATATTAACCACATCAGAGGGTTATTATAAGAACTAAATGATTTAAGCCACGTAAAAAGCTTAGAACAGTACCCAGCACATTGTGAACAATTTGTGTTAACATTCATTATTAACTAATGGCAGATTAATCTGAAGATAGTTTACTGAAAAATAAGTGTTGTGCCAGCAAAAATATGAAGATCTAAAATGCTTTAAAGAGCCCAGGAGGTACAAAAACAATTTTGTTTTTCATTGCAAAAAAATGTTTTACAGTTGAACTAAACAATAACAAAATTAAACAAACCTGCGCAAAATTGAAACAAATGATTGTTTGTTGTTCTCACCAACAGCTCCTTACTAGCTTGAGTGATTTTAAAGCTGCTACAACATGTTTAACTTTTTTTCCACCTGTGCATTCCAAACCTACCTTCTTGTGTAATCCATCTAAAATGGAAACTTTTATCAATGAAAAAGGAAAGTAGAGTATTGGAGCTTTGTGGCTCCAAGTGCCAGGAATTGGGAAGCTGGGAACTCTTGGTTTTGCTTTATTCTTAAATTCAGAGATAAACCTTCTTGCTATGGAGAAAAGTTATTTCTTTCTCCGATACATTGTTGGACTGATTGTAACATTTAAAACGAACTGAGATGGCTTAAGAAGCCCTTACTTACATGCATGGGAAAATAGTGGAAGTCTGAGCGGGGGCCCCTGAGTAATGGAAATGCCCCAAGTTAGGGGGCAGTCTCCAGGGCAGTGCCAAATGGATTGGACCTCTGGTCCATCTCCTTAGAGGTCAGGGATAATCACTTGGAAAAGAGAGACACCATTAAGGGAATAGAGTTTGCAAATGCTACTCCATCCAGATCTATCTATATTGATGCCAATCAAGAAGGATTAAGAAAAAAAGGCATAGCCAAAAGCCTTAATCAAAATTGAAAGACAGTCAGGAAGTCTTGGAAAAATTCAAACCAATATGTCTGGGAAAAGTGAAAACACATGACAGAGAGAACGTGGGCAGAAGATTCTTATAGTAAGCACCAACTGTTGAGGCAGAAGGTGGGCAAAAAGGCAAGAAGGAATTTCTCTTTATCCAGGTCACCAAAGCCAGAACCCAATAACCATAGCTGTGGAGAGTAGTTGCATTTTGGTGTACTTTCTGAGACAGCCCTGAAATTTCTCTGCCCTTTTGTACAGTGTCAGCTGTAAATGTGTTTCATTACTTTCGATGGAAAGGCAGTGGTAGCCTAGGAGAGAACTGAAAGGAAGGGCCATCCATTTGCAAACTCCTATGTCCCAGGAAGCCCTGGGGTTCAGTGGAGGTGGCCCTGGTGGGGACAGTTGTCCTCACATGTAGGTCCCAATACTGGTTCCATCCTGCAGTTCCTTAACTGGGTCACCTTGGATAGGTCATTTTACCTTCCAGACCTTTATTTCCTAGTCTATAAAGTAAGGGGACTAGATCAGATTAGCGGGTTTTGAGTTGTAAAACTTGTTCAAATGGAGGCTGGCACAGAAACCTAATATGCAAAATGATTAGAGTGTGAAATAAAGGGTGAAGTGAAGTAGCCCTTGTCTAATCATGGGCAGCTATCTTATCTCTCAGTTAACCAGAAGGTCTGGTTAACCAGAGCACTCGCTTGGCTAAATGGGAACCCACCAAGTGTATTTATTTGCAAGACAGAGTGGCAGTGAAAACCCAACTGTGGTTTGGTTTATTATTGAAAAGAATGTCAAGAGTTTTGGAATCCTTTCAGACCAAGGTTGAAAACTTATGGGCAAAGGAGTTGTTCTGCGACGGCAAGAGAAATTTGCAGCTGCCTGAGATTGTTCCTGGAACAGTGAACTTGTGTCTCTCTGTATATTTACTTAAGAGACGATCTGCCGGGAAATGGAGTAAACTGTCAAACTATTCTCCAGGTGAAGAACAGAAGAGTAAATTAGTGAAATGCTTGGCAAATGAACCCTGATGCAGAAATTTCTTATAATAATGATCTTTTAATTTGATTTATACTTCGTTGGGAAGAAACTCAGTGTTCAGAAGCTTGCCATTCTAGCATTTGCAAAGAGAGCAGGGAACTAATTTAATATCCATGAACTGGAGATTCACTTTAGAGAAGCCTCAGGTCCATTTATTCTGTGTTCAAGTGAGTTTCGTTCTCGATTAAGGGAATGGATTTGTCCCAAATAATTCTCTTATATGCTCCATCGCCAAGGAGTGTTGAAACACAGCCCCCCACTGGGCTTCTGGCTTCTGCTTTATTGAGCCCAAGTCAGCCAGTGAATGTCTAACAGCCAGGCAGTTTTCCCAGGTGCTGGGAGATGAGGCTCAGCTGCTTGAGAAATTAACGTGTGTGTTGACCCCCAGGAGAACATGAAGATCGTGGAAGCTGAGTTACCTTAAGTCCAATGTATTCTGATAGAACTTTCCTCCAAAAACATTTTCAAATATTTGGCCCCCTAGCTATTGGCAGCAGTTCATATTTATAAGACTTTTAAAATGTGTCCTTTTAAAGTGATTTGCTTTGCTAGATTCAAACTTTTCTTTATAGAAACATGTCTCTACTTTAAAAAAAAGGCAATGGAGAAAAAAGTATTAGCTATAAAGATCATTCACTGGATAGATCATTATTTTAAGGAAAAAGGGGAGAGAGGAACTAACATTTGTTGCGAGTCCCCTGTGAGCTTCTAGGCGCCTGAGCAGGCACTTTCTCTTTTAATCCTTCCAGAGAGAGGGAGTTATCTTCATCTTACACATAGAATTTTGCCCATGGTCACACAGTTCGAACTGGCCACACTTGGGCCCACCTGAAGTGACAGTCCATGGTTTTTCCTTGACTCCAGGAAGGGGCCACATTCTGTAGACTGAGACGTATTTGTGTTGTCAATTCCTTCCTCAGGCAAGTAGCCAAAGTGTGTAGTTGGAGGTGCCCTGTCCCCTTCCCTTTTGTCCAGAGGCTTTTTAGGTGTGTGAGTAGGAGAGTGCAGCGGATGTGCAGGTACCAAGAGTCATTCATTCATTCAGTCTACACACATAGTAACAGGGTGATGCTGAGCCACACTGGAGCCTGAGGCAAAAGGAAAACCAGTAATAATGATCCTGTTTATTTAAAATTTTGATATTTTGCTTACTATGGAGTTTTTTTGCATTAATTTTGATTTTTCAAAATATCGCGTGAAAATGTCATTTATCTTGATGCCTCAGTTTTTTGGCAACCCCCTTCAATGTTGCACCTGCGGCCAGTGCCTCCTTTTCCCCACCCTAGTCCCGGGCCTCAGACATACTTTTATTTATGTGCCAGGCAATGAGCTATGTGCTGGAAAAACCAGATAAAGATACACAGGAGCTTTCAGACTAGTGAGAGCCAGTCGTGCAAATAGTCACAACACAGCACGATAGTTATAAGACTGTGCACAAAGTGTAATGGGGAAGGAGTCTATGTTGAGTCACGGTCCCTGGGAGGAGGGTTTGAGTGAGACTTGAGGGCTGCCTGCAAGTTGGCCAGTGGCCACGTTGGTGGGGGAAAGATGTCTGGGGAGTGTTGACAAGTCCCTTCGTCACTCTGAGCCTCAGTTTTCCTCACATGTAAAATGGAGGGATGGTAGGGCTTACTTCCTAAAGTTGTCGTCAGGACTAGAATGAGTTCATTGTGTTCAGCGCCTAGAGTAGATTCTGGCATGTAACATCACCACAGTGGTGATGATGATGATGATGGCCATTATAGGCAGATATTTTTAAATGATAGTGTCTTTGGGCCACATATACAGTCTGAACTTTGCTTTGCAGACATCCACGACAGTGATGGGAGTTCCAGCAGTGGCCACCAGAACCCCAAGAGCACAGCCAAGTGGGCAGCCTCTCTGGAGAATCTGCTTGAAGACCCAGAAGGCGTGAAAAGATTTAGGGTTTGCCTTTTTCGTTGTTGGCTGGGATTGATGCAACACGTGAAGAAGTTTAGATGCATGGGGGGAGCACAGGCCAGTTTCTAACACTGTCTGTCCCAACTTGAGAATAAGAACTTCCCACCTGGCATGACCAAGAGGAAAACACTTTCCAGATCCCACGGACCGGCCCTGAGGGGCATGCACAGACTGTTTCTGGTTTTTATATAGTTGGAGGGGAGAGAGTGGGGGCGATGGGGAAGAGGTACCATGCACACTGGCAGAATCTACAAAGAATTTCCAGCTCTGTGACACCTGGGAGGGGGGCGGTCTTGGTCTCTCTGATGTGAAGGTTTCTTCTCTTGTGTGTCAGGGATTCTCAGGATACATTATTAACAAGTGAGAGAGGCTGAACAACAGCTGGCAAAATGAAGTTGAACTCAAAGAGAAGAGCTGATGGATAGGGAAATGTCGGCGCTGCCTAGAAATAACTTTTTTGGCTGGCAGAAACCCCAGGTGTTAGTTAGGAGAACCACATGTGAATTTCAGAAATGCCCTGTATCTGCCTGAGTCCCACCAACTTCTTCTTTAAGTCTTGGGTCAGGCCAGGATAAGCCCTCCTGCTGTTGGTCCGTGTTGCAGCCTCCAGGGACGGCGGTGGCGGGCAGGGCTACTAACATTCCTGGACACCAGGCCACGGTGAGCACTGTCGAGAGCTCAGGGAGGACGCTTTTCTGTGCATAGCCGAATAGCTGGCTGTGCTACCAACCCCCCAACACTGCCAAAAGAAAAACACACCTCCAACTTAAAATAGTTTTCATCATGGTGTTTTTAGACATGCTTAATATGTTTTCTTTTCTTTTGTTTAAAAAAAAATGGGCCTGATTTTAGAGGAATGTACTTTGTTTAAACACTGTCTAGAAAGAACTAATATATCTTCCACTTTAATTTACTTTTTGGTAATTTATTGTCAGCTTAGAATTGTGAGTAGATTCTTGCTTCATTTTTAATTTTCCTTACCGTGTCAAAGCCATTAAGTTCAAATGTATATGAAATTCTAGCTTTAACATTAAACATACACTTTTTTTTTTTTAAAGAGGATTTTTTCTTTTTAATTATTTATTTATTTATTTTTTCCCCCCAAAGCCACAGCAGACAGTTGTATGTCATAGCTGCACATCCCTCCAGTTGCTGCACGTGGGACGTGGCCCCAGCATGGCCCGAGAAGCGGCGCGTCTGTGCGTGCCTGGGACCGAACCCGGGCCGCCAGCAGCGGAGCGCGAGCACCTAACCGCTAAGCCACGGGGCCGGCCCTACACTTTGTTTTTGAGGGTGGAGTTTTCAGAGGGTGATCCAACCATGCTCGTTTGTTAGATTTGGCCAAATCAGTCCTTGAAGGGAAATGCATTATTTGTTTGTTTGTTTGTTTAAAGTAGAATACTGTTTGATACTTTTTTCTTCTTTTTATCCATAGGAATTTTTAAAAAAGGAATTCAGTGAAGAAAATGTGTTATTTTGGCTTGCATGTGAAGATTTCAAGAAAACACAAGATAAGAAGCAGGTATTTCTTACACTCTGTAATCACGGTCTTGATAATTCTTTTCTCTCCTTATAAAGTTACAGCTGCCTTTCCAATAGATTTCGAAATTGCCTCCAGAAATCTGGTCCATATTGGATTGGGGGGAAGATTTAAGCTTCAGATTAGGTATCTTGTTTTGATCAAATATAAATAATTTTAAAAAGAGTGCGTTAATCCATTTTTAAATAGAGCTGTTCAAATGGACAGATATTTAAAGTAAAAATAACGATTTATGTCATTTCGAGTTCATCATCGTATATGGTTTTTTTCTTCGTGTATAAGTTATGAGGATGCTTCCCCCTAGAGTTTGACATGTCGGCATTTTGTATGGACATAGTAAAATGATAAGCAGATGTATGGTGATAAAAGCAGAGCATGCATCAGATGGATTGTCAATTATTTAATATATCTTACAAAACATCCGGTGGTTGGCAGGCATCCCACACAGAATGTTTCTGACTGTTTTCTGGGTAGATGTGACCTCTTTGCAGGAGGTAGGCTTTTAATTCCAATGTCAGTGGATTTCCTGACATTGAAAGTTGGGGGTAAGAGGAGGTGGAAAAGATTATGAGGAAGGAGGCCTGTGGTTTGGGTGTGTTTATGAGGCCCGAGCCTGTGTATTTCTAAGAGGCTACCAGCTAAGTGCCTACAGGGGCTGGTAAGTAATGTGCTTGAGTGAGGCTTTTGGTGCGAGGCTGTAGGGAGTGGTGGGGACTGGGGCCACCAGGGGGCAGCCTGCCCTCTCTCCAGGGGCTGCAGCTGGTTGGTTAGCTGACTTGGGCAGTGAACACCTGGGGTTTGTGGCTGTCTCGGCTTTCCCTGCCTTGAGTTCTGCCCACTTAGGTCTTTGCTTGCCCACCGTCATCCCCAGAACCTGGAGGGGCCTTTCTTCCTAAGGCGTCTTCTCCTGTCTTCAGCCCAGTGCTGCCTGTTTTTCCAGGGAATCTGGACATTTGGATTCTTATGCGAAACTATCCAATTTTGTAAATGTTGGAACTAATTTTTAAAAAACGTAAAACCTTGTGTGCCAGCAAAACACATCCGTGGGCAGATGCAGCTTGTGGGCTGCCAGTTTTTGAGCCTCTGTCTCCAGAAGCTGGAATCCACAGGGCCGTCAGTCATTGTGCGTTTGAAGACAACAGCTTGGAAAATGTCTGTCACTGGTTTGCTCAAAGGCTGTTCCGGCTCAGACACACTTCCCCCAGGATGGAGCAATATGGCCTTCCCTCTATCACCTTCCTCTCCGTGGGAGTAAGGGTGAATTCTAAGATAGGTCCCTGAGCTTGAGTTTCCCGGGTCGGCCTAGACAGCTGTCTTGGGCATGACTGACCCTTGGCATTTGCTTCTTTCTGGCTTCTTCTCCTCCCTGGATGACTTTGCCTGAGCCTCCTGGGTAGGGAACAGCCTCAGGGGAAAAGTGAGTGAGCAGGTTGGGGGGGCTGCTTTGGAAAGCGAGGATGTGGGCTGCCGCCCTTCAGGCAGGAGTGCCCAGGGACAACCGTCCATAAATGCTGGACTTTGCAGCCAATTCGTCCAGCCTCACTCTAAAATCCTAGCTTAGGGTGAAGCAAGTGAACACATGGCCATTCCTCTGCCTTATTCTTTGCATGTTGGAGGTGAGAGGGGCCTACATGTCGGCCAGCTCACACCTGCATTGTACAAATCAGGAAGCTGAGGTCCCCCCACGGCCGAGCCGGGACTTGAACCAGCACTCAGGGGTCACCCATTCTTTTCCCTGCACACTGTGCTGGGGTGTCTTTCAATTCAGTTGAGTTCACCAGATCTTTGTGGAGTGCCTGCTCCGGACCAGCCCTTGTGAAAAGCACAGGAGACACACAGGGACAAGACAGATGAGCTTTAGGGAACAGGCATCGAGAGGGGAAGCCAAAACAGGCCTTTGCAAGTGTGACGAGTATAGAAATGGGAAGTGCGGGTTCCGTGGGAGCACAGGCAGTGGGCAGTCAGGAAAGGCCCCAGGGGAAGTGACTTTTAAGCTGACACCTGAAGCAGAGGTTGGGGACGGGGATAGTGTTCCTGGAAGAGGGAACAGCATGTGGGGAGGAAGCCCTGGAGAAAAGAGCTGAAGGAAGACCAGATGGTGGGAGGGTCATGCTTGAGTGGCAGGCTGGCTCTGCTGTGCTTGAGGCTGGGAGGGAGGTGGGACCACCCTGGGAGACCCTGGGGGCCAAGCGAACACTGGAGAGCCATGGTGTTGGGTCATACTGCCCCAGCTACGTCCTCCAGGGAGCTTCCAGAATCTGGCAGCCCCTCCCTGCACCCCCACCCCTGACGCCCAGCATATGACCCCTTGAAGGTTTGTGTCCTTAGGTCTGGAATGTGCCCTGTGATGGCTTTGGTGCAGCGAATGCTGCCTGACCGTCAGCAGCCTGAGAATGCAGACAGTACTGGGAAGGGAGGAAGCGTCCTTGAGGCCCGCGGTATCTAGACCTCAGTCTGGGTGTCAACTGAGCCTCCTGACGATTCCCATCCTTCCAGATGCCAGGGCTGTGGTTTGAGAGGTTAAGCAGCAGCTCGCCAGGTGCTGCAGACAGAGGCAGGATGCAGACCCGGGTTTCTGACTCCAGGGCCCATGTATCTCTAGTGTGTCTGGCTGCAGGGGAAGTAAAACCAGGACTAAGTTCTAAGTCACTAATTTTAAAAAGCAGAGGAGGATGTAAGCATGGGAAGAGTCGGCCCAACTGAATTTCACAATCAGACTTATCACGTCTGGTCCAGCAGGGAGTTTGTCAAGGGTTTATCTCTACAGTGAGCAAAGGCAGTTGGATCCATGTGAATCTATCTTTTGCCTCCATTGATTTAAATAGGCTCTGTGCTGGTTGGTTTTTTCATTCTTTTTCTTGGATTCTCCAGCCAGTTCTCTCCATAGTACTTACCAACTTATCTGGTACCTTGTACAACTTATTTATTTATCTTCTGTGTTTGCTTTTCCCTCTCTCATGCGGACTCCATAAGATTTGAGACCTTTGTCTTCTCCCTCACTGTATCTGAGTGCCCAGAACACGGCCTGGCACACTGTGCCTTTCCAGTTCTCTCCACCTGAGTCAGCCGACACCTGAGGATCCACGAGGCAGCGTGCTGGCCTCCCTCTCACCTTTTGCTGCAGTGGCAGCCTTAGGGATGGACTTGAGAGGTGAACGTGCAGTCTATTCTGTTGGGTCTTGTATTCTCAGAGGATCCAAACCAAGGAACGGTGCTCTGACTTCACTGTCTTTCCTGGTCTAGGCTTTTCCCCCTGCTAGGCAGGAAAGCAGCCCCTTGGTTTGGGAGGGTCTTGACGCTCTGCATTTATGGTGGGGATGGCGGGGCTTGAGAAGTTGGGAGGGTGACGCCCGCCACCCCCTCTCCTTGGGGTTGCTGTGGTGGTTGTCCTTTCCAGGTGTTCATATTCAGCAGTCAGCTTTCAGAGAGCAATTCTCTCCCTTTGCAATTTGTTTACGGTTTAAGTTTTTTCTGTAAAGTGCCTCCTCCCTGTGAATTAGCACATGAGATATATCTATCTTCTAAAACAAAGCAGCATTTATATCTCATAAAACCTAAGAAAAAGCTCCAACAAGGTGTTCATTCTTTGGCTACCCCTGAATTCATTCATTCATTCATTCATTCACCAGCACATGCATATTGGGCCTGTTTACTATGTGACAAGGATTGAAATGGACGTGGAAGCTTGTACATATTTGTAAAAACCAAACTGACGGCGGGGGTAGGGAAGTGGTAGGGTAACACAGGATTTCTAATAATCGTAGCTCTGAGAACAACTTGCACTGGCATTTAGAGATTTCCCTCTGCCTCTGGTTTGGGCTGTCTCTTTCTGACCTTTGCCTTTCAGCGTGGACTTGGCCAGGTCCAGGCTGGACCGATTGGAGCTCAGCTGCTCACGGCATGGTCTTGGGCCTGGCATTGGCGTGCCTTGAGCCTCCGTTCCTTCCGCGCTCACTTCATCACTTTTAGATGTTATCTACCGACTTCCTTTTACTATAACCGAGGTTTCACTTATTTCCGTCCCTGTGTACTGTATTTTCATTGTTAAGACTTCATTGTTTATTGTTCGCTGCTGAGCCAAAGAGGATGCTACAATTACGTTTTTTCTTCTTGGACCATTTTTTGCTTTTCTTATTTCACATTCTTCAATAGCCTTTAAAATGCTTCTCGATGCGGAGCTGCACGGGCCCAGGCCTCTCAGATCATCTCTGCAGCCCGGGTTCCCCTGGGGACGGTCCTCCTGGGGACTTCTGACCGCAGCTCCCACTGGGGCATCCCCTGAGCTTTCTTTGCCACCACTGGCCATTCCCTTTGCCTCTCTCCTGCCTCCTGGACCCACTCCCCCTCTGTCCTGAGTCACTCCCTCATTTTGGTGAAGCAATAGTTTCTTGAGAAAGGCTGGTAGACATTTAAAGATTTTGTTGAGTGAAAATGTTATTTTTTTCCTACTCTCCTACTTCACTGATAACCTGATGGAGCATAGAATTGAATTCTAGGTTGAAACTCACTCAGAATTTTGAAGACATTGTCCCATCGTCTTCCATTTTTGTTAAGAATCAGTATTTTATATGTGAGCTAATTTTGTTTTGTTTTCTTTGCTTTTTTCTCTTTGGAATAGCATAGGATCTTCTTTTCATCACTAATATTCTAAAACTGTACAGTCAGAGTCTTTGAGGGGGGTGTTCATTCATTGTGTGGGCATTTTGTAGAGCCTTTTAATCTGGAAGTTTATAGTTCTGGGAAATGTTCTTACATTATTGTAATTATGATCATTATTTTTTAGTAACTCCTTTCCTTCCATTTTCTCTGGTCTCTTTTCCAATGCTGGCTCTCCTTCCCTGGACTGAGCCCTTAGTTTTCTCTTTTTTCCTTTCTATTTTTTCATCTCTTTGGCTTTTGGTTCCTATTTTTCTTTGGAGATTTCAACTTTATCTTCAAATCTTTCTGTTGAATTTTTTCCGCTTTTGTTTTCTCTAGACTAGGACCCTCCAGTCTCTTCCTGGTGGCCACAAGCCCGATATGTTTATAAACTAAACACATCTCCAATCAACTGGGTTGGGAGAAATTTGCTGGGGTGCGGAATTTCCCGTAACCCTGATAGTCAGTTTGGTACCTCATTGCTGCCCACCTTCCTGCCTCTGTTCTGTAGCTTTGCTAAGTCAGTTTCTTTAGAGAAGAAAACTCCAGTCTCCTGGGGAGAGAGGGAAAGAGGAGAGGGAGGAAACAGCTCAGGGTTGGGGGGTCAAGGACCTGGGGGTCTAAAGGCTTCTTTCTGATGCCCTTCTTGTCCCTTCCCTCTGGGTGACCAGATGCCCCTGAGTTCCTGCCATTTTCGGACCTTTCTTGTTGGCACTTGCTCCCCAACCTTGCCGGTGCTTAGTGTTGCTCTTGTTGCTCTCTGTGGAGTCATTCGCTGTCCCTCTGTCTGCTGTCCATTTCCGGAGCCAGTTCTGGGACATATTCCCAAATCATTTACTTGAGATTTTCTTTGCCTCATTCTCTTTCTGAAGCTGATATTTATTAATGGTTTGATCCTTCAGTTTTCTTATGTGTCCTCTCCCACTGCCCATCTCTGGCAGAGTGATGGGAGTGGAGGGGACCGGGCTGATGGAGATACGTGTGGGAGGCAAAGTGAGCAGAACTCGGTGATGGGCAGGGTGTGGGGGTGAGGGCGGTGTCAGGGGATCGTGGTTCTCAGCTTCCTGGAGTAGAGACCGCAGGACTCACTGGCCAGAAGGGGACCACTTCTCTCCTTGGTGTTAAGTTTGAGGCGTCTGTGGGACATCCAAGCCCACATTTCTAGAAATCAGTTGGCTACATGGTCGGTAGCTTGGGGGAGCGTGTAGTTAGGAAAGCACTCATCCAAGGGCAGAACTCTGGGAAACCCCAGAATTGATGGGGGGACAGAGGGACAGAAGCTGGCAAAGGAGATAGATAGAAACAGGGAGGTGTTGGAGGATCCCTAGAGGGCAGCAGTGGTGAGCAGGGCCAGGGCCGGAGAGCAGTCCAGAAGAAGGTCTGAGGGTCTTAGCTACCTGGAGGACATCAGTGAGCTGGTAGAGGCTGAGCTGGCAGGTGGGCGGAAGCCAGACTGAGTGGGTGGAAGGAGAAAACGGAGACACAAAGTGCGTACTTTCTTTTGAGATGTTTCAATAAGAAAGCAGGGGGTGGGGTCGTCATTAGCTATAGCGGGATGTGGAGCAAAGGGAGGTTTTGTTTTATTTTCCCAGTGGAAAAAGTTGAAGCTTGTTGGATGAGGGAGAGGAACCAGAACATGAGAAGCAATGCTCTTCTGAGCTTGGGGCTGCTGATGCCTTTGCTGTTCTTGAGTCGACGATATCTGTTTCTGGGGCTGATATTGAAATGAAGTTGCTTCTCCTGCACGTGCTTCTACCTGAGTGTGACCATGGTTGAGGAGTTGCCCGGCCTGGAGGGAAAGCCCCGGACTCGTGGGTGTCAGGGAGGAGCTCCTCTGGGTGCAAACACTCCCACAGGCCGTCCTCGAGTGGAGGCCAGGAGTCATCACGTGGGCCCAGGCGGGGTCCTTTTCCGGCACCTTCAGGGGCGGTGTGGGATGCCGGGGTCCTTTTCCGGCACCTTCTGGGGCGGTGTCGGACGCCAGGCACATTTGCTCTCCACAGAGGAGGTGCTCTGGTGGAGGCTGTGAGGGCCAGAGAAAAAGCTGGCTATCCTTCCAGATCACAGGCCCAGACGCCCCTGGGCAGCTCCACCAGTGGATGGATGTTCTGTTCCTATCCTGACACGAGCTAGAATAGGGTTAACAAAGCTCTGGAAAATCTACCAAAATAACTCGAGAGACCGGTTCTTCTTTTCTGTTGTGTTCTCAGCATGGACAGCAGGCCTCCCCGTGACCGGCCTGCGGTCAGCAGTCTCGGGGTTTCCCTGGTCAGTCATGCTTCCCATCCTGGGCGGACAAGCTCTGCCGCTGAAGCCGTCACTCTGGGTGGCAGGCAGACGTCAGTCCGGGGCCGCGTGCCTCGGGGACCCCACGCCGTTCCCAGACAGAGACTCAGGAGGGTGGCTGGGGGCGGGAGGGTGGGCTGAGCGACCCCAAGGCTTGTGGACATGCAGGCCCCCCCCCAACCTGCTTCCTCTCCTCCTGGCCCCTCCCACCCCCACCTCTAAGCCTCAAGCTACTCATTACACTTCTCCTTTTCAGAACCACCCAAGATAGCTTGGATTCGGCCGGAAAACGTGTATGTGTGAATGTTCAAGGGGGAGGGGAGGCCTGAAGTGATTTCTGCCTCCACAGCTCTGCGTGGAGTTTGCAAATCTGACTGGCTGAAACTCTACATTTATGAAGTATCTTTAAAGCAGGAAGTGGTTTTCCAAAAATGTTCCCTCCCGACAGAATGGGGGTGGTGGGAGGGAGGCTCATGGCTTCACGGAGGGGGTGGGTCTTTGAGAGGCAGACAGCCCCAAAGTGCTGCCCCACCGGGTCTCCATGATGGTCTCCAGACTTGTCCCTTGGAATAGCCATATTTATCTTGAGATGCTCCTTGTGCCTTTGAGTCTAGCATCAATTACTTGTTCATGTTGATAGTTGATCAAGAACAGACACCATGGTCTTGGGCGTTGACCCCCACCTGGGCAGTCTTCTTGCACGAGCTGTCAAGGCTTTCTTTCTGGGGGACGGGAGATGGTCAGACTGCAGCCTCATGGGGTCTTTTGTCAATTAGTCCCCAGATCCAAGGTAAGTTAAAAGACTGCTTTTCCCCTCCTTTCGAGCACCAGGTATTGAAGCCTTCTGGTGGTTTCCATGAGGCCAAAGGTTTTCAAAGCCTGGGATTTCCTAAGGCAAGGTCTGCAGCATGTGCAGGCCCCGGGTGGGCTCTCTGGAGAGAATGGCAGTTTTCCAGACCTCCTAAAGCCCCCTGGCTCCCCCCACAAATCATAGCTCCACAGCTGCGTTTCAGAGGCGTTTATCATCTGGCTTGCTCTATAGGGTGAGGTAATACTCAGGCTCTGATGTTTAGAGAAACAGCCCCCATCTTTGCTGCTGGAGGTGTGAGTACAGGAAGTCTCCTTTCTCAAAGAGAAAATAGAACCCTCAGAGTTCGCCCTGGAGGACCAGGCTCCTGTTTGCAGCCCCTTAAGGAGGCACGCTGTTTTTAAGACAAGCACTTACCATGAGAGTGTTCCCGGGCCAGCCACAGTTGGTTTTCGGTGAAACATCAGTGCAGGTGGGTGCACCTTTGCATACATGCCTTTCAAAGGCCGGTACCTACTTAGGGCTGATGCTTTCCAGCAGGACCCCCTTGGCACTCAGGGAAGGCAGCGAATGTTCTCTCTCTTGCTTATACTCATATCTCGTTACCTGAAAAAAGCACACATTATCCCCACAACCTGAAGGGGATAATGTATCTCGCAGGCATGGAACTAAGTGGAAACACAAGACTTTGGAGCCAAACAGTCCTAAGTCACCCTGCAGTCTCCTTGGATAAGCCACCTCTCCTGGTCTCTGTATCCTCATCCGGGAAGTGGTGCTAACAGGAAATGGCACTTTGCTGGATGCTCAGGGATTCAGGAAATGGACCATGGCTGTAAATCACCCAGCATGTGTCTGGAGCACAATGGGTGCTTGATAACTGGTGGGGATGTGTGTGTGTGGTTCAACTTGATTTTGTTTTATTGTGGTAAAATACACATAAGATAGATTTTACCATTTTAACCATTTTTAGGGCTCTCATTTTAACCATTTAAAGTGTGCAGTTCAGGGGCATTAAGTACATTCACACTGTTGTACGCCATTGCCACTGTTTAGTTCCAGAACTTTTTCATCACCCCAAACAGAAACCCTTTACCCATTATGCCATCACTGCCCATTTCCCCCTCCCCCTAGCCCTGGGAAACCACTCATCTTTCTGTCTCTATGGATTTGCCCATTCTGGATGTTTCACATGAATAGAATCATGTAATATGTGGCCTTTAGGTCTGGCTTCTTTCACTTAGCGTAATGCTTTCATTAAAGCATTACTTCATTCCTTTCTATGGCTGAATAATATTCCCATGAGTCCTTAATTTGGAGAATTCATGAGTGGTCATGAGTGGTACAGAATGTCACTCACTCTGGGCCAGGATTCTTTCTGTCATCATTTCCCAACGGGCAGTGTAGCCATTTTGTGATGGGAGACACGGGTACAGATGCATGGAAGGGATGGGGATGGGGGCTACGCTGACCACGAGCCCCCCAAGATCGAGCTTAGCTCTGGAGCGGCAGCCAGAGCCCCCAGTGCTGGGTCTGGCCGGAGCGGAGAGCTGGGCGCAGGCCGGGAAAGGCTGTGCTCGCAGATAACAAATAGGCTCTCTGTGTCTCCCCCAGATGCAGGAAAAGGCAAAGGAGATCTACATGACCTTTCTGTCCAGCAAGGCCTCATCACAAGTCAACGTTGAGGGGCAGTCCCGGCTCAATGAGAAGATACTGGAAGAACCACACCCACTGATGTTCCAGAAACTCCAGGACCAGGTAACCTAACTTCCCTACCTGCACCTTGATTTGAAAACTGACATTTATGACCGGCCTGGATGAATTCAGCGAAGCACTAAATGTTAGACACCCTTAGAAGCCGTCCCATCCAGCCGGGCAGGCTGAGGCACCCTGAGGAGCCAGGGTTGGCGAGAGAGAGGACAGGAATGCCAGGCTCAGGATCTGACCCCGAGGAGTCTCCCTCAGCCTGTTTACTCTTGGTCTACACACGACTCGAACCAGGAGGGTTCTCTGTCTTCTCAGCCCAGACTGGGAGGCTGGGGCTATTTGAGGGGCCCACAGTGAGGAAGCAACATGATCACTACTGACTGTAGGAACAGACAGAAAAATCTAGAAAGCAAGCACAAGGACTCAAAGTGGCGGGAACCTGGGGCTGTTTTTGTGCAAATATCCAAACATGCCACCTACTTCTGGGGGCCCCAGACCGTGAGCTAGATCGTAATGAGGCTCCTGCATCATAATGAAAGGTTAACGTCTGGCGGCATATTCCACTTAAAACAGGAAAAATTAGGTTTGAAGAATGGACCTGTAAGGGGTAAACTTTAGTTTTCTGGCAAATTTTCTTTTGAGGAATGCCGGCAGTCATAGGCAAAGGGATGAGACTGCACTCCAGAGGTTTTCTAGACGTGAATTTGCAGATCTGACTATTCACAGCGTGCTCTGTTCTTATGAAATGTTAGATACACACTTGTAGATAATGGAACACAGACCAGTTTCAAACTTCTGGTGGCCCCATCCTTATCAAGGAAGCAAAGGCCTTCCTTGGCACACAGGTGGAGACTAGCTTTTAGCTTAATTCAGCGGTCTTCAAACGGGAGCAAGCGCAGACCCACCTGGAAGGCTTGTAAAACAGATGCTGGGCACACCCCCAGAATTAACCCTCAGAGTCCATGGTTCCCAGGAGTGTTGAGACTGTTCCGTCCTAACAAGTTCCCCAGTGATGCTGATGCTGCAGGCCCCAGGACTACCCTTTGAGAACCACTGGTCCACTGCATTAGTTGGCCTTTTCTCATCACCTGGAGTGTGCACAGAGCCCAGAGCATGTCCTGGCACCCAGGAGGCCTCATCTTTGCTCAGCATCAGAGAGCAAACAAATACACAGGTAGAAAATACAAATATGAGAAGTAGTTTGAGAATGGTTTCTGATTGATACAGTGGCAAGTGCAAATTCCACATAAATTCTGAATCAAATTTCAGCTGGTGTTGAAGGAACTCCAGTTAGCCTGGGAGACTTGCTGAGGGCCTCCTGGAGGTGGTGATTTTGAGCCATTGGGAAGGATGCCATGGATTTGTGGAAGGAAAGGAAATGGAATGTCTGGTCAAAAGGCAGTTCTTGTGGCTGTAGTCACATGGGGATATCCATTCCACCCGGACTCAGAATCTTTTAAAAGCATCCTAGGGTGCTTTAGAGCACAGCCAGGGTTGAGAAACTGTCCTGAAGCCCCTGTGTTCTAGGTATTTTCAGTAATAACAGTATCTACCATTCAGGGGTGCCCTTCTGTGCTGATGCCCACTTGGCATGTATCATCTCATTTAATCTCCAGCGAGTATTATTATTCCATTTTGATGATGAGAAAAGCAAAGTTCAGGAGACTCAGTGGTTTGTTAGCAGAGTCACACGGGTGACTGTGTGAAGGAAGGAAGTGCTGGAGGCCGGGTCACTGTCGCCCCCCTGCCTTCAAGGGCTGTGTTCTGTCCCATCACAGCCTGTGCGGCTCTCCCGGGCTCGTGGGCAGCCTCTCACTGCTCCTCAAAGCCCTGTGAGACAGCTGGAGCAGAGGGGGTGGACAGGCCGGTGAACACAGGCAGTCTCTTGCCCAGGGCTGCAGAAGCCAACGTGGTGAGGAAGGAGATAGGCTGACATCACTCCGGGCGGTGGGGCCTCATGCTCCCAAGGACCCAGCTCTCCTGCGGTTAGGCCTGTGACCCATCTCAAAATGGAGCTGGACCTCTGTGACCCGGGCACACCCCGCTGGATTCCTACATTGGAGGATTTAGCTGGCACAGGAAGGAGGAAACGCAGGGGACAGAGGAGGAATTTTTTTAAGTGACAAAGAAAAATATTTAAAAAATAACTTTTATCTACCTAAGTATAAATCATGCACGCTCAACACAAGAAACTTGGGAACCCAAAATATAAAGATGAAGAAGAAATTCATAATTCTAGACCTGGAGATAACCACTAAATAACATTTGATCTCTAGACTTTTCATCTTTTTTTCCTATAAATACACATAACGCACGCACGTATAACAAATGTGGCACAGTGCAGTTCAAGCCACTTAATGTAAAGAAAGTACTTTTATACCCTGTTGTTCAACGTCATTTATTGAAAAGGGAGAAAGAGGCACTAACTATCTTCCTGAAGCATAATGGGGGGAAAACAAGGTATTTGGAATCTGAGCTGATTCCACAGTGAGTCCCTGTGCGGGGCCTCTGGTTCTGTTTCGCTTCAGAAAACTCTGCTCTCAAGGGCCTTGCTGGTAACCACCAAGATGTGTGCGCAGCATGGTCTGTGGTTCTCTGCTCCCAAAAGGCCCCCATGAGACCCCTGCTTTCCTAGGTGAAGGAGCGTGAAGCTGAGGGGAGCTTGTCTGGAACCACAGGGTTTCGCATAACTTTATTTTTTTATTTATTTATTTTTTAAAAATAATTTTATTTATTTATTTATTTTATTTTCCCCCAAAGCCCCAGTAGATAGTTGTGTGTCATAGTTGCACATCCTTCTAATTGCTGTATGTGGGACGCGGCCTCAGCGTGGCCGGAAAAGCAGTGCGTCAGTGCGCGCCCGGGATCCGAACCCGGGCCGCCAGCAGCGGAGCGCGCACACTTAACCGCTAAGCCATGGGGCCGGCCCTCGCATAACTTGAAACAGCCTCCTCAGCAGCTGTGGATTGTTGGGCACCGCTTGGCTTTCTCGCCGAGCTGTCTGAGCCAGCTGCTTCTGTGCTTCCAGCGCTCGCTCACCAGGAGAGCTTCAGGGAGACTCAACCCCTCCTCATGGGGTGGGGGGCAGGGGGGAAGTGCTCCTCGCCCTGGAGGCTGCTGATAGGGCAGTGTGGACTTTGGGGCACAGCTGGAACCTAGAAGGATGGGAAAATCCACCCTGAGCATCAAATTAGATGGCCCAACATCTGTGCATCTTATTTAAAGGAGAGCTTCTCGGGTCTTCATTCAGCTCCTGTTTGTTCTTGGTTTACACAGAGTTCTAACAGGGGCTGGTACTTCATTCACAGCAGGTTTGAAGTGCTGGTAGAGGCTGAGGAGTGATGGGCAGCAAGAAGCGATAACTAACAGCCAGGGAGGAGACAGAAAAGCGATACTAAACCCAAAACCACAGCACAGTGATCTGGAGCCACCTAGCGTGGGGGCCCACAGCCCACAGACCACACTGGGGCATCCCTGTGCCACGGGATGGTGACACAATTAGTGATCCTAATGGCCCCAAAGCATCAAGCAAAACTTAAATTGTGGTCAGCGTATTCCGTGAAGAATGCATGAGACATTTTAATAGGCATTTCATCCAAAACGATGTCTTAAGAGAAGTTTGGGGGCTTAAAACTTTGTGGCCTGGAAAATTCCTGCGGTTGCAGATTGTTCTCTGATTGAGTTCGGCTCTGCTAACGTGGCCCCGTGTGTGCCCAGCACGTGCTGTAAGGCCAGGAGAGCCGGGAGTGGGCATCTCTTGGGTACTTTGGCCTCGAGTCGAAGGCTGCTGTTGGACAAATTCCAGTTGTGGGAAGCAGGAAGAAGGAGGCGACCTTACAAAGAGTTGGCGTCTCCCCATGCGTTGTAGTGCCCTGCGGTGTCTTTTTCTCTGCTGAAAGTCCACTCCTGGCAGGTCTGTTTCAGTTCTGGTTGGTTTGCTGGTGTGAGGATTTGTTCTTTCATTTACTCCTTTATGCTGTGAATGTTGATGGAGAGCCTACTGTGTACCAGAGACTGTGCTAGGAACTGTGTGTGCACGGAGCACCTGTCCTCCTATGGAGAAGATAAAGATAAATGCTAAGAAGGACATAAAACAGGCTAAGAGTGACTGGGCGGGGCCTGATTTGGGTCTAGTAGTCAGGGAGGGCTCCTTGAAGAGGTGGCTGAGATCTGAGTGGCAGGAAGGAGCCAGGAGAGAAGACTTGGGGGCAGGACTTTCCAGGGAGAAGCAATGGCAAGAGCAAAGGCCCTGGGGCAGGAATCACTGGGTGTGTTGGGGGAGGTCATTGTGGCTGGAGTGTAGTGAGTGGTGAGGGGCTAGAAGCTGAGTTGGGAAGGACTGGCTAGGGTTAGGCCCTGAGGCTGTGGTAACCAGTTTAATGTCAAGGATTTTGAACGGTGACTATTTATAGAATGTGCCAGTTGGGTTAATAAGTTTTGGTCCTCTTGAAAACTGGGCACCTTGGCTCTGATCCCCAGCTCCAGCTGTGCCCGTCCCTCATCTGCTGGGCAAGAGAAGTGGATGACTCAGTGCAGAGCCATCTCTCTTACTAGAAAGTCAGCTGAGACCCCGTGGCCTCCTGACTGTGGCTCATCATTTGTACCCAGAAGGCCTGTCCCCCGTGTCCC